CCTAATGAAACAAGTATAATAAAACCTTAATGATCATCTATCCACTACTTCAAAAGTTGAACAAATAACCAGTCTCTTATTTGATTTCATTCACAGGATGTGGGCATTGCTGGCTTGGCTAGCATTTATTGCCTATCATGGATGGGATGAAGCCAAAGACCATCATGTGGAAAAGTTCTGCTAATTTGAAGATATAGTCTCACAGTTATTCAGCAATCAGCAGGAGCAATCTTGACTTCAGTGGCTCAGCATTCCAACGTACCAAATAACAGGACCCCAAGAGTGGACATGTTTAAGGGCTGCACTGTGGCTAGCACTACTGCCTCACAGCTCCAGGGGACCTGAGTTTGATTCCACCCTCGGGTTACTGTGTCTGTGTGGGATTCCTCCGAGTGCTCAAGTTTCATCCCACAGTCCAAAGATGTGTGGTTTAGGTGGATTGACCATGCTAAATATTCTGTAGTGTCCAGAATGTGCAGGCTAGATGCATTAGTCATGGTAAATGTGGGATTATGGGGATGGGGCAGGGATCTGGGTGGGATGCTCTTTGGAGGGTTTGAGCTGGGCCAAATAGCCTTCTTTCTGCATTGTAGGGATTTATGATTCTAAGATACTTGCACATCACAAGAAGCATTGCAAACAATAACGCCGCATGCAAACGAGAAAGAGTTCATTCCCAACTCTTTGTCCTCCGAGCAAATTATTTCCGTCCCATGCTTTGTCCCAAGGCAGGACTTTCCTCATAAGACAGCTGCAGCTGTGATGTAATTTTTGGAAAATAAGTACCAAAGTACCAGCCTTCCATCACATCAAAACTAGCTGTCATTGTTCATTTCCATACAAGGCATAGTTTCCTACCAGCCCCATCAGACTTACTGGGTAATTTTTATAATTCTAAGACCCTGCCAGAGAACACTGTAAAGAGAGAATATGCAAGTAGGCATATAGTACATACTGTTTCAGTCATTCATTTTGATGGAATGAAAATCATGGGCTGAACGATCATAATTCACAGTCCCCCTGCAATTCACCAGTTCCACATTACAAAATTATTCCAATAGCACTTCCACAAAATCTTTCTAACTGAGTGAGTTTGGATGTCCCAGCATATTCCCTGAACTAGAATTGAAAACAGAGTTGGTGGCCCATTGTAGGATCTGCCTGACTTTTCCTTTCCATTGATAATCATCATTAAGTGTGTGTAATGATTTCCACCAACATTCTTCCCTGACGGAATAATTAGGATTGACCCATACATGTTTTGAGAAAGTACTGAGGGTGTTGTAAAGAAAGTTATACCACTGTTAGAGAGTCACTCTGCGACCCCCAAATTATTTTGAGATCTTCCAACACGTCTTTGGAGGAACCTCTGAACTTCAGGTCCCCCGTTCGTACCACAGACTTGAAACACAAATATCTCCATTTCCAGCGTAGCCTTCAAGCAGGTACAACCTTTTTATGAGGAGAGTCAGAATTTGATCCATAAGTCCCCTATTCAATCAAAATCTATAACCATCACTGCTTGAAGCCACATGAAAGTTACTGCCCTGTTTTAAAAAGCAAATATTGCAGTGAGCAAACAGTACAAATGTATCTCTGACCAATTCTGAAGCTTTACCAACATACCATTTTTGGTATGTTGAAACAGAGAGTGTAATATTACATGTGGTTAAGGGTAACAAGGCAGAATTTTTATTTTACTACGCTGGTAGTAATTTATAGAAGCTTACAGATTTTCAATCCATTTAAAACCATTTGGATTCGACAGTGCTTGTGTCATTGTTCTGCTAAATTACCATTCAGCTGGTGAAGATAAACACCTACCTATATTCTACTCCTGTCTCTTCATCAGTGAAAAAAACAAAGAGTTGGTTTTATTTCTAATCTCCTGTTTTAGCAGAAAACAAAAACTACAAAGATTAAATCAAATTGTGAAACAGCAGCATATACAGAAAAAAATTATACTAGATGTGTGCAGGTAATGTATTTTTTTCAATTTGTTTTGATACCATAAAGAACTGGTAATAATTGGATCGACAAACTGTTCATGGAATACACAAGATTCAATTCAGAACTAAAAGAAAAGAATCAGGAATAAAGTGCTGCAGGCACCATCGCTTTGTTTCATTGTATATTGTTCATTTTCAAATCATGTCACAGAATCACAGAATCCCTACAGTGAGAAAGCAGGCCATTCGGCCCATCGAGTCAACCCTGACCTTCCGAAGAGCATCCCACCATGACCCAACCCCCACCTACCCTATCCCTGCAAACCTGAATTTCCCATGGCTAACCCACCTAGACTGCATATCCCTGGACACTATGGGCAATTAACATGGCCAATCCACCTAATCTGCACACCTTTGGAATGTGAGAGGAAACCAGAGCACCCCGGAGGAAACCCATGCAGAAAAAGTGCAAACTCCACACAGACAGTCACCAGAGGGTGGAACTGAACCCGGGTCCCTCGCTCTGAGAGGCGGCAGTGCTAACCACCGAGTCACCATGCCACTCTTGCACTGAAGGCAGGCATGTTGTGAAAAATTCCAGGATTTTATATTTCCATGTTTGAATGTATCCAATCTCCTTTCCACCACTATCACAAATTATATTCAATGTGACAGTGAGAAAGGTAAAGTATCTCTCTAGAGAGTTACGAGCGTGCACCATAGATGACCATACCATCGTCATCCAATGCTTATTTACTATTGTCTAACTGGATGGGACTGCACTCATCTGATACATTCTTATCTATGCAGTCATAGCCTGCAAATCATCTACAATGGCTTCTCTTCCTGCTTCCACACCTTGCTTCTGCTCATTTGCAATAACCTATCCTTAGCTCCTTCCCAGTTTTTACTGGAAAGCTTCCAACATCAGAAGACACTGTCCAATTGCCATCGGACAAGCCTAATTGCGTGAGCTGAAAATGGGACTTTAGTCTCATTTTGCCAGCGACAGTCAAATAATAACTTTGGCACATAGTTGTCCTAGAATGCAAGGCAACAGATCCCCAAAATCTGATGGCATAGCAGCACCAGCACAGATAGCTGGAGCTCCACTTGGGGGATAAAGGTATGTCAATGGCTGTGTCCCCCCAAATATAGGCAAACGGAATCCGGGGATGCTGGGGCCAGGCAGCAGGCTGATGTGAGGAGGTGGGGGTGAGTAATGTGATGGTTGCTGAGAATAGGCATGCTGCTGCAATCACCAAGACCACCTACTTTCTTGGCTAATCTCCCATATTCTGTCCTTTTAAAACTGAATGCACCAAAACTCAATCACTCATCAACCCGGTGCTTCCTGAGCTGATTCCCAGTTATGCAACGCATTGATTTTAGTATTATTATCCTGGTTTCCAAATTCTCCCAAGGCCTAACCCATCTCTATAATGCCCTTCATCCCTCCAACGTTATGTGCTGTTCTCCTATTCTGATTTCTCGATCAACGTGATTTTTAAAGGCCTTGCTATTGGCAGATAAGCCATCAACTTCCAGAGCCATAAGGTCTGGAATCTCCTTCTTCAACCTCTCTGCTGATTTACCTATTATTCTTCTATAAAGACACTTCTTACACGTCCTTCTTTGATCAAGTGGTTGGTTGTTATCTCTCAAGTCACATGAAGAATGTCAGATTCAAATTCCATTTGACAAAGCTCCCGAGAAGCAGCTTGAGACATTTTACTGCATTAAAAATGCTATATAATACAAATTGTTGTTGTCAAATCCTTAGTCAACCTAGCAAGTAGCACACATAACTTACACTGTTTACGATGAGCTTAATGACTCTCATCACAGATTTTCAGAAATATTATGATGTAGAGAGATAATTTGAGAACATGACATGGATATTTCCAATCAAATTTTTTCCATTTTTCTTTGCTCCTCTCCAAGAGCCACTTATTACTACTGGCATATGGTTTCAAAGCTACTAAGTGGCTTCATCCACTCGATTAAGTAGTCATTCTTTACATAGAAGGTCACACAGTGAGTACTGTGTGGGTACTTCACGATGGACTTCATCAAAGGTAAGCCCAGATCAAGCTTCAAACATGCATGCACATTTTGTAGCAGTAGTCAATGATCTAGAGATCAGGGTGTTATGAAAAGCTCAATGTCGCATCTTGACCACAGCACAGCTGAGTTCAACCAACAACATAAACCAGAGACTGAATCTTGAACTATGTGCCTTGGCACATCGCATATTGACGCATAAGGATACCTTAGGCCAGCTCGGTTTTTAGTTACCATTCTCCAATGTAATATTTTCCAATACAGAGATGCACAGACATGTCATAGAACCCACCTACTTTCAATTACATTTCAATTCCATGCAAAGGAACTTCACACAACATTGATAATCTGCCAGAAGAACTTATGGCCACATTCAACATGGACTTTCTATTTGCAGCACAATGGAACAGAAGTGACAGGAGAGCTGACTTAGCATGAACTTTCCAGCAAAATATATTTTGCAAAGCAAGCAGCACAAGATCCACACAGGTCATTACAGTTTGACCCATAAATGAGCTCTACTAATAGTTCATCATATTTCACAAACAAAAAACAGAAATTGCTGGAAAAGTTCAGCTGGACCGGCAGCATCTGTGGAAGGAAATCAGAGTAAACGTTTCGGGTCGATTGACCCTTCCTCAGTTCTGAGGTCGGGTCACTCGACCCGAAAGGTAAACTGATTTCTCTCCACGGATGCTGCCAGACCTGCTGAGCTTTTCCAGCAATTTATTTTTGTTTCTGATTTATAGCATCTACAGTTCATTCAGTTTTCATCATATATCACCTTCATTCTGGAGTATTAAAAAAAATTCAAACATTTTCTGAAAATTAACACTTTATCATCAAACATTCTGGATCAGATTTTTAAAAGTATTATTGTATTTAAAGAAAGGTATTATTTCTACAATGAGAATGATAATCAAAGTTTTATAATGGCAACAATTCATATCATTTTTATAATATTGTATAGAAAAACATATTTCTCACCTTCCTCATCTGAAACATCCAGAATCTCAGTCATTGTCTCAGGTACATTCAGCTTGTGTTTTTCAGTCACTGTCTACAATAAGCAGAAACAGAAATACAGGAATGTGTCAACTGTTTGCAAGAACTACCAGTAGATGGCAGTAAGCCAGCAATACTCTGTATCTACAATATCTATCGTATTTCAAAAGTTATTCCAACGTACAGCCAAACACACTTACACCAGTTAGGTACCTGTTAATAATTGTTAACAAATAATTCAATAAATAATTATCAGTTTATTCAGAAGGTAACTTTTTTTTGGTTTATTGACTTTCTTCATTTTTCAGGTTTGATTCAAAACTCGAACCACTTTCCCCTCGACCAATAACAATGGAAATTGAATAACAATAACCCAATAATATTGGAATCCCGACTGCCAGTTGCCATGGTGGAAATGAACGGTATGCAGGAGCATTATCTCACCTTTTCTCTGCTAATGTCACAAAATACATTTAGGGTATATGGAAGTTCAGCTTCAAGCAGACTCCAAAAAAAAAATCATGACCTAACTCAAACAATCCGGGTCTGGTCACTCATGCTTACCACAAACAAAAACTTAAAACTTTTGTTGCTCAATGGTTATGAATCCTTTCACCAGGACAAAGCTACAAGTTGATATAAACAGATTGCACAGGGGATGCTATTGACCTGAATATCCATGCGTAACTGATTTTATTAATTTTATTTGATTTCATATACTTGTGGCATTGTCTGAAATGAAAACACATAAATCAGATGTGAACTAATTCAGAATGTTCAAAGAAAAGCATCATGTAATTATTGGGAACAAAGACGACCACCTCGTGATAATCTCTCACTCATCAGAACACTGTGCAGTAGAGGCCTTTGGATCAATATAAGTTGATCAGTGGAAAAAAAAACCAGGAGTCAGATGAGCCCCTTTTTGCTCACGTACTGTCTAACTCCTTAATGTACATTCTTTTCAGATAATGCAAAGACAAGTTCTATATTCACCAGCAGATATTTGAGGTTATGCATTTTCAATTAGTTATTGCATTTAAATGGATCATATTTGACTTTATTACCTATCTCTAAATCCACATTCCTTCCTCTCTTTTTTACCTTGGAATAAGGTCAAACAACAAGGGCGTATCAATAAATGGAGAAGTTACAGCAATGATGCTTCCCGGTGATATCCTGCTCCTTAGAATGCTTTGCTCACAATAGTGGGCACCACTCAAGACTGAAAATGTAATTTTGCAATTTTGTTCAATCAATAGGATGCTGGCTTTCATAAACAATTGTATTGATTAATAAAGGAAGGGATTATTTTATAGATTGTAGTTGCTGGTCCATATACTAAATTCTGAAATTCAGCAGGGTATGTCCCCACACTTTCGTATTAACATTTTTTTTTTAAACAGTCGTAGAGGTCTACAGCATGGTAACAGCCCCTTCAGCCCAACTTGTTCACAGTGCCCAGTTTTCAAAATTTAATCTCGTCCCATTGACCTGCATTTGGTCCATATCCCTCTGTATCCATCCATGAACCTGTCTAAATTTTTCTTAAATTTTTATTATCAGGAAGTCTGTTGCTTTATTCTGAAAATGAATAATGTAAATGTATAGTTATATTTAAATCTGGCATATGCTTTACTTGATTCTAGTCCAACAACTCGGTTAACAGTTGAATTTGTAATACTCGGGGCAGAGCATGACAGATCATGATTTCCTAAAGTTTGAAGTCTATTGCTTTTATTACATAATTCAACATTCTATGAGCATTGTTGTCTAGAGCTCTGTATTGGTTGGACATATGGTGCAGCCAGTTTATGAAAAGTTGAAGTCTTCTTCAATTTCATCTTAGCTATCTCAATGAGCCCCAACATCAGCATTTTTTTCTTCCTATGTGCAGTGCTTTATAGCTCTGAGTAAATTTAATCTCTCATTGTACTGCCAACTTGCATATTTTTCTTATGCCCTCTGAAACAGGCTAGCAGGCCATTTAACTCAAGGGAAATTAAGGATGGGCAACAAATTCTTCCCATGGAAGATTATAGCTCAGAAAATATTTTTCCTATTTACTTCACAATGTTTTGTTTGTAATTCTATTTACTGTCATTCTTGTTTTGTCTAAGATCTCGATACAAGTTATGTAACTATTGTAAATGTTCAGCATTATTCCTTTGGAATAAGTCCACTTGTCTGCTACTGAAGTGTTCATTCAGTTAGCTTAAGTCCATTTCTCATTCAGCCAATTTAAAAGGTTTTTTTATTATAAATGCTTCACTCTTCGTATTTTATCTTACTGGGTCATATCAACTGAGTCATTTTGTGGTCATTAACATCCAAAGTTTCCACAATTTCGACTTCTTTTATGTTGTCAAAGTCATTTACCCATTCCAGGTTGAGTGTTATGTCTCAAGGGTTCATTGTTACATTTTTCACGAAACATTAATCTGACTATATGCCATTTGGGTTTTCCCATGTACAACCAGTTGTTTGAAGCCACCTATTAAAATCATTTCTGTGTTCTCACACACCAAATCTCTTCGTTCACAAGAAACTATCTTCCTTTTATGCTCATCCAGTGGTCTATAATATACCAAGTTTTTTTTAAAAAAAGGGATGTCTATCCAGAATAATTAGTTGTGTATCTTCCTGTAGTGTGGCCAGCTACTGGTATTCTTTCTCTCTAATTTGTGGCCCCTTCAGTAAGGATAGGTGAGTGCCTGACATTACTGTAGACCCAAGAATGAACGAACCACTAGAATGTTGGAAACTGATTCTGGAAATGACCCCCAACCCAGGTGAACATCTACATAGCCTGTAAAATCAGGTTGAGGAAAAATTGTGCAGTTTCAGCAGCAATTTGTGCCTGACAATCAATTAATATGTAAATTAGTGTAAAGGTTTTGTTTCAATAACTATACTGTAAATTAACATGATTTTGTATTTGGTTTCCTTCCTTCCCTCATTGCATCAATTTAACTAAGAGCTCTGCTGCACTAGGCTGTAAAGCAGACTGGATCATGTTTTGCTTCATTAAAAATACATGCTTTGAGCTATATCTAAATATCAATGGAATCAGCTCTGTACGAGAATTCAGATTTTCCCCACATTGCAGGTTGAACGTAATCTCATCAGCAATACCAAATAGTAATAAATCATAAATAACAACCTTAAGTCTCTAGTGTAATAGTTTGTTCAATAATTTAATATATAAACCTATCTGTGGCAGAGCAAAGGTTCATAACATCAGCTTGCAATGAATTCTGCAAAATAAAAATCAAATCCACTCTTAAAAAGCTAAAACGGTCCCTGGAACATTGATGAGAATTTGCCTTCAGGGATGTACTCACTGTTGTAGTGGTGGTGACTTCTTCTGTGACAACTTTCAAGGTGTCAACCACAGAGATATATCCAAGGCGTTTGGCAATTGCTAAGGCAGTGTTACCATTCTGCAAAGAAAGATTTAGTTAATTTATTAGTTTTACCAGGACTTTAAGAGATCTGATGGCTCACCAACAGTGATCAATAAATCCTAAAAGTATACTAATTGAAACTTTTCATTTGTTAATCTATTTGAATCATGCAGGACAGCTTCACTGTAATTCGCTGACTAGAACTTGTCTACTTCACAAAACTTCTATTAATTTGGAGAGATGATTGTTAACGGCCAAATAAGAGTGTAATCGTTTACGCAGTCCTTTTATACCAAAAGCTGATCCTATTAGCATGGTTAAAAAAAATGATGATGCAAGTTTTTTTTTTTAAACACCACTTACACTGCAAAGGATGATAAAAATCAATAGATCGTGACCTTTTGGGATGGCAGCAACAATTAGCAGTATTACCTGTGATCTTCACTGAGGCATTTGCCTTCTGCAGACAGAATCTTCCAGCTACTCTACCAAGCAAAGAGATATACTTACTGCAGTGGTGGCATTGGCTCTGGCTCCATGCTGAAGGAGGACATTGATGATGTGGGTGTGACCCTGTTGTGCTGCCTGATGCAAAGGTGTGTATCCATTCTGAATATTCAGCCAGATTCATTCAGGATTCAGGAGCATTAAAATAACAGGAAAGAAATGCCATGAATGAGAAATCTGATTGCCTGTCATTAGCATATTATTGAAGGAGTGGTTTGAGGAAGTTCTCTCAAAGAAGTCCTGAAACATTCTGACACAATAGAGCTTTAAAAAAGGCATGGAGGCTGCTGTCTGAGGATATATGGTGAATTTCCAGCAGTGCATCTTGTACAAAATACTCAATGTGCTACTGAACATTGGTGGTGGAGTGACTAAATGTTTGTGGATAAGATGCCAATCAAATGTGCTGTTTTGTCCTGGATGGTATTTAAGTTTCTGGAGTGTTGTTGGAGCTGCCTTCATCCAGGCAAGTGGGGAGTATTCCATTACACTTCTGACTTGTGCCTTGTAGATGGTGGACAGGTTTTGGAGAGTCATAAGGTTTAGCCTCTGACCTGCTCTTGTAGCCACTATATTTACGTGGCGAGTCCGGTTCAGTTTCTGGTCAAAGGTAACCTCCATGACATTGATAACAAGAGATTTAATGATGGTATCATAGAGACATAGAAAATAGAAGCTGGAGTGGGCCATTTGGCCCTTCAAGCCTGCTCCACCATTCATTTATGATCATGGCTGATCATCCATTTCAATAATTGATCCGGCTTTTCCTCCATAATCTTTGATCACTTTAGCCCAAAATGCTATATCTAACACCTTCTTGAAATCATACAATGTTTTGGCCTTGACTGTTTTCTATGGTAGTGAATTCCACAGGCTCACCACTCACTGGGTGGAGAAATTTTTCCTCATCTCACTCCTAAATAGTTTACTCCATATCCTTAGACTGTAACTCCAACAGTTCTGTTCTCCCCTGCAATCAGGAACATCCTTCCTGTATCTACTCTGTCTAATCCAGTTCAGTTTGAATTTTATAGCTTCCTAAGAGATTCCCCTCCTCATTCTCTTAAATCCAGCGAATATAATCCTAACCAATTCATCACCTCCTCATACGTCAGTTGCAACATCCCAGGAATCAGGATTGTGACCTTCACTGAACTTCCTCTGTAGCAAGAGCAGCCTTCTTCAGAAAAGGAGGTGAAAGCTGCACACAGTACTCCAGGCGTGGCCTCACCTAGGTCCTATATAATCACAGCCCAACACCCCTGCTCCTGTACTCAAAACCTCTCATCATGAAGGCCAATATACTTTCTTTATCATTTGTTGTACCTCTATGCTTACATGCAGCAACTAACATATGAAAGCATTGAGGTCTCATTGCATATTTCTATCTCTCAATTTATAGCCATTCAGAAAATAATCTTCCTTTCTGTTTTACTACCAATATGGATAGCCTCACATTTATCCATGTCGATGTCAGGTGATCTGTCTAGTTTCATGACTTTTTTTGAGACATTCTGGCAATTAATACAACTGAGTGGCATTTTAGGCCATTTCATAGGGCAGCTGAGAGTCAATCACATTGGTGTGGGTCTGGAGTCACATGTAAGCCAAACCAGGTAAAGATGGCAGATTTCCTTCTCTGTATACATCCTCAGTGAACAAACAGTGTTTTGAATAATCAACAGTGGTTTCATTGTCATCATTAGACGCATAATTCCAGATATTTATTGAATTCAAATTCTACCGTGTGCCAGCGCAGGATTCTAACACTGGTCCCCAGAACTTTACCCGAGCTTCTGGATTAATAGTGTCGTGATAATACCATTAAGCCATCATCGCCTGGCCCCTGCTGACTCCCCCAGTTACTATGTTACTAAGACTCAGTTGGAATAGTACCCAAGTAAGAAAATAACACCTTCATGAGAAAACCAGGAAAGGAAATTGTAACAAAGTTGGGGAAAGAGGCAGCATTACACTGGGGCAGAAGGTGGCATCAAAAAATGTGATGCATTTGCTCATGGCTTTCTATCTCTCAGATCACATTGATCACTGGAGCGTAAGAGGTTAAGAGGTGACTTTATTGAGGTTTATAAAATCATGAGGGGCATAGATAAGGCGAATAGCAAGGGTCTTTTCCCTATGGTTGGGATAGGGGGTCAAAACTAAGGGACGAATTTTTAAGGTGAGAGGAGAAAGTTTTAAAAAGGACAGGAGGGGCAACATTTTCACAGAGAGAGTGGTTCGTGTGTGGAATGAACTGCCAGAGGAAGTGGTGGATGCAGGTTGTTACAACATTTAAAAGACGTTTGGATAAGTACATGAATAGGAAAGGTTTGGAGGGATGTGGGCCAAACACAGGAAAGGGGGAGTAGGTTAGTTTGGGAACATGGTCAACAAGGACTTGTTGGACCGCAGGGTCTATTTCCATGCTGTATGACTCCATGATACATAATAGTTACTTCTTATGAGTCGAAGGAGAATCTAATGGAGGTGACAGGGATCTCAACTCCTTGTTGCTAGTCAATGAGTTCCTCACTGCCCCTTTCAGAGATATCACGTGTCACTTATGCAGTAAACAGGACAGTGGTGGGACTTACCCAGGATCAAGGATCCCTGAGGCAGGAGTCCTAATCGGGCAGATCTACTGAATGATAGTGCCACCAGCACAGTGGATCAAGGGGATGATTGCAAAAGCAGGCAAAATGGATCTCACCAGACCACCTCCTTTCTAATGATAGGGTCGTCAATCAGGAAGCAAGTGCCCTTGAACAAGCAACCTCCACTCCCCCACAATTCCAGCAGCCTATAAGCAATACTCCCTACCACCAGCAGTTAATAACAGCAGCAGTAGAGTGAAGCCCTTACATGGGCATTAACTGCCCTCTTCAGGGCTTGAATGGAGATGGGGCAGGAATGCCATACCATTGTCCAACAGCTTTAATCAGGGTGCAGAAAGAAAGGCAGTACGGTCCTCAGCCATCATGCTCCCAGCTTAATTAAAGATGTTTGAGATTTAACTGGTGCCACAGAAAATGGCAAGGCTGGTGTCTTCCCACTTCACTGCCCTGCCAATGAGCATGGAAATCCATTGGGATTGATTTCCTGATCACCATGAGCTTTATGTCGTCTTTGCTGCTCCCCTTATAGGTTCCCTGCTATGTCTATGCCTAGGATCAAAGCAGTACTCACCCAGGCCACACAGTGAAGGCAGCCAGTTTCCTGTGCAGTCAGGTCCAAGTGCCTGAGCTCCCTTCTGGTATCCCTTACTAGAATACGAAGAATGCCTGTCAATTGGTGGTTCTCATAACATAAGGCCAGTGGGCTCTACCAAAAAGTCTGAGATTGGAACTCATACTTGATCCTGAGCTCAGGTTCCTGAAGTTTAGAGGAAATTTCAGCCCTTTTTTCCTAAGCTCCTCCAAAGATTCTCTTGCCACTGATATCATCTCAATCCTGGAAACATGCTTAATCTTGGCCAATGTGTCTGTAAACTCCTCTGCCTTTTCAAGCTAGAGCTGAATATCAAATTCCATATTCTTTTAATTCAATTACAAACTTGACTTGTTTCTCTTTGTGTCTCACCTGCATTACATAGAACATAGAATAGTACAGCACAGTACAGGCCCTTCAGCCCACGATGTTGTGCCGACCTATTATCCTACGAAGTTCAATCTACCCCATATACCCTACATTTTACTATCCTCCATGTGCCTATCCAAGAGTCGCTTAAAAGTCTCTAAAGTATCTGACTCCACTACCACTGCCGGCAGCGCATTCCACACGCCCCCCACTCTCTGTGTGAAGAGCCTACCTCTGACATCTCCCCTATACCTTCCTCTAATCATCTTAAAATTATGCCCCCTCGTAATGGTCATTTCCGCCCTGGGAAAAAGTCTCTGACTATTCACTCTATCTATGCCTCTCATCATCTTGTAAGCCTCGATCAAGTCACTTCTCATCCTTCTTCGCTCCAGTGAAAAAAGCCCTAGTTCCCTCAACCTTTCCTCATAAGGTCTGCCCTCCAGTTCAGGCAGCATCCTGGTAAATCTCCTCTGCACCCTCTCTAAAGCTTCCACATATTTCCTATAATGAGGTGACCAGAACTGAACATAATATTCCAAGTGTGGTCAAACCAGGGTTTTATAGAGCTGCAGCATAACCTCACGGCTCTTAAACTCAATGCCCCTGCCAATGAAAGCCAACATACTATACGCCTTCTTTACAACCCTATCAACTTGGGTAGCAACTTTGAGGGATCTATGGACATGGACCCCAAGATCCCTCTGTTCCTCCACACTGCTGAGAATCCTGCCATTAACCCTGTATTCTGCATTCAAATTCGACCTTCCAAAATGAATCACTTCACACTTTTCTGGATTGAATTCCATCTGCCACTTCTTTGCTGAGCTCTGCATCCTGTCAATGTCCCGTTGCAACCTACAACAGCCCTCCACGCTGTCCACAACTCCACCAACCTTCATGTCATCGGCAAACTTACTAACCCACCCTTCCACTTCTTCATCCAAGTCATTTATAAAGATCACAAAGAGCAGAGGTCCCAGAACAGATCCTTAAGGAACACCACAGGTCACCGAGCTCCAGGCTGAATACTTTCCATCTACTACCACCCTCTGTCTTCTATTGGACAGCCAGTTTTGTATCCAGACAGCCAAATTTCCCCGAATCCCATGCCTCCTTACTTTCTGAATGAGCCTACCATGTGGAATCTTATTGAATGCCTTGCTAAAATCCACAAACACCACATCCACCGCTCTACCTTTATCGATGTGGTTTGTCACATCCTCAAAGAATTCAATAAGGCTTGTGAGGCATGACCTGCCCCTCACAAAGCCATGCTGACTATTTATAAGCAAACTGTGATTTTCCAAATAATCACAAATATTATCTCTCAGAATCCTCTCCAATAATTTGCCCAACACAGAAGACAGACTGACCGGTCTGTGATTTCCAGGATTATCCCTATTCCCTTTCTTGAACAAAGGAATGACATTTTCCACCCTCCAATCTTCTGGTACTACTCCAGTGGACAGTGAGGATGCAAAGATCATTGCCAAAGGAGCAGTAATCTCTTCCCTCGCTTCGAATAGCAACATTGGGTATATCCCATCTGGCCCATGGGACTTATCTATCCTCATGTTTTTTCAAAATTTCTAGCACATCCTCCTTCCTAACATCAACCTGTTTGAGCATATCTGCCTGTTTCATGCTGTCCTCACAAACGTCAAGGTCCCTCTCACTGGTGAATGCTGAAGCAAAGTATTCATTAAGGACCTCCCCTACCTCCTCGGACTCTGCACACAAGTTCCATCCACTATCCCTGATTGGCCCTACCCTCACTCTGGCCATCCTCTTGTTCCTCACGTAAGTGTAGAAAGCCTTGGGGTTTTCCTTGATCCATACCCGCTTCTAGCTCTCTTAAGTCCATTCTCCAGTTCCTTCCTGACTACCTTGTAGACCTCTAGAGCCCTGTCCGATCCTTGCTTCCTCAACATTAAGTAAGCTTCCTTCTTCCTCTTGAAAAGCCAACACCCCTTCTAAATGCATTTAAGAATGCACAGGTAATTTCTTTAAATATTTTGCAATGTCACACATATAGTAATTCGAAGGGCTGACCTGTGAACGGTACATGCAACGACTCTCAGGTCTGTCTGAGGCCATATGAAAGTGCAGCTAAGGGCAAATACTGATTGAAGTCTCTATCTGTAACTTTGTACAGGCAGAATGCTCTGGACTTAGAAGATTCTCAGGCATTGATCAACCTCAGTGTTCTGACCCTGATGATGGCAGAGTTTCACCCCATCATGAGCAATTTTCAATGAAGTGGCTAATTAATGGACCACTTTCACATTTACTGACATTTTGCGGATATTGCCAACAGGTTGCACAGACAATGAGGCCAAATGCTCAAGGATATAGATAAGGGGCAGACCCCCTCCCCCACCTCCACCTTGGAGATGTAGCTTTGCTAAATGCAAAGACTGTGAAGATGCCCCAAATAGAGGCGCTCTCTGAATACTTCTGAACCTACCCCACAAGACAATTAGTGATTATGGCTAGGACCCTTTGATCCCCAAGACGTTAGAATAAGGGAACATAAAGAAGCAATGAAGATTTTTTCAGGAGGACACCTTCACTCACCTGCCAGGTCTTAGTGGTTGCTCAGCTACCGAAGGGAGGATATCAGCACAATTTACAACAAATTCAGCATCTAGTTGCATACCTGGAGCTGGCAGGAAGGCAGCCTGTATGACCTTGGCTCCACTCGGGTGGAAACAGACCAGGGCAGTTTCATTTTGTGCGCATCTCTTATTTTTTTGCCCAGTCAGGTCTCAAGGCTACATCCAAGAGACTGGGAAGACTCCAATCTGTGTGTCAGTTATCCCTGTTCCTATGCCATGTCATATTATATCATCTGATATTGACTAAATGTTGACCATATTGACCAGGAAGCACAGCAAAGTACTAGGGATGGGGAAATGTACATGACAAACACAAAGCTGATTATGATTGTTGGAAGCCAATCAGTGATAGCCAATCATCAAATTACTGTTGAAATTCCTCAGAGTAAGTCAATGTTTAAGTTTTAAACAACATCAGGCTTGAGGTTGTCCATGTTGTCCACCTTCATTCCCAACTCCTCTGTTAATGCAGTAAGCCCTGCCAACCCACAAGAGAATCTGGTCCCTGCTGCTTGATTCAATTCCCACCCGCTGCACTTTGGCTTCAGTATTTTTAATCGGTTATTGACACACCTTTGGAGTGAGACTTCAACCTTGCCTCTTGACTCAGAAGTAGGGACACTAGCACAGTCCCACAGAGACCCTGTGTATTTTGAATCAATCATCATTAATGCTATGACACACCTCTGAAACAAGTAAGATTTTAACACAGCCTATCTAAATCAGAGATAGGGACACTAGCATTGCACCACAAGAGATCGATTGGCTTCATGGTGTTCTGCACGCAATGCAATGGAGCAATTCACCAGAAATAGTCCAACAGCAGCTCCTAGCCCTGTGAGCGCAAACATCAAGAAAAGATATGAACGAAAACATCATGGAAGCAGCAACAAGACCATGTTCCCCTCCAAGACACATACCACTCCGATTTGTAATTATATTCCTGATCCTTCTTCACCGCTGTATCAAAATCCTATAATCCAGATCTAATATCACAATGCAAAAACTATTATGACAGCATCTTCCGTAATGAAGGAACATTTTAAATGTTCCCTTTTTTGGGAAATTAAAGATTGACACACAGTGTTTTTAAACAAATGAAGACTTGTCCGTGTCATCTGCTTCTCAAAAACAAATGTTCAAAAAGATTATGTTTTGTGAAGTAAAAATTACTCTTTGTTTTACCTTAGTTTTGGCATTAACATTGGAACCGTGCTGCAGGAGGAAATTGACCATCTTAACATTTCCATAGTGACAAGCCACAATCAGTGGAGTATAGCCAACCTGAAAAGGAAAACTTTAGTCAGAATACATCTACAGGAATCCTGAAATATAAAATTACAGGAAACTAAAAGGGAAAAAGATGAATCATTTTCCACCAACGTATTACAATTCTAGTAACTTATAATGAGAACAAAGAAATGGTAGACTAATTAAACACATACTTTGGTGCTGCCTTCACCAAACAGAACACAAATAATGTCCCAAAAATGCTGGAGAGCACAGGATCAAAAGAGAGGGACGAACTGAAGAAAATCAGTAACTGTAAGAAAATGGCTTTTGTTAAATTGATGGACTTAAAGGCTGATAAATCACTAGGACCTGATCATCTGTATCCCACAGTACTTAAAAATGCAGCCCTAGAAATAGTGGATGCATTTGCGGTCACCTTTCAAGATTCTATAGACTCTGGGACAGATCTTACAGAGGGAAAGTTTGCTAATGTAACCAAACAGTTTAAAAAAAGGAGTTAGGAAGAAAACAAATACTGCTAGACTGGTTAGCCTCATATTGGTAGTGGAGAAAATGCTAGTTGATTATAGAAGATTTAAAAGCACAGCACTTGGAAACAATGACAAGATTAGAAAGTGTCAGCATAGATTTACAAAAAGATAATTAGATTTGTCAAATGTAATGGGATTTTACAAGATATAACTACTAGTGTTGATAAGGGGAAGCCAGTGGATGTGGTTTACTTGGACTTTCAGAAGGCATTTGAAAAGGTCCTGCATAAAAGATTAGTATTAAAGTATAAAGGATTGCAGCTAGTGTACTAATATGGATAGAAAACTGTTTGGTAAACAAGAAACAAATGGGTCTTTTGCTGAGTGGCAAGCAGTGATGAGAAGGGTATTTAAGAGACCAGTGCTTGGACCCAGCTATTCACAATATATATTAATGATTTAGATGTGGGAACTAAATATTAATATCTCCAAGTTTGCAGATGACACAAAGCTGGTTGGCATGATGAGCCCTGAGGAGGATGCAGTGATGTTTCGGTGCGATTTGGTCAAGGTGAGTAAGTGGGAACATGTAGATGAGGTATAATGTGGATAAATGAGATGTTATACACTTTCATGGCAAAAAAAGGTAGATTATTATCTGAATGGTGATAGATTAGGAAAGGGGAAGGTGAAACAAAATCTGGGTATCATTTTATACCAATTGCTGAAAGTAAGCAGGCAGGAGCAGCAGGTAATGAAGAAAGCCTTCATAGAGAGAGGTTTCAAGTAAAACAGCACAGATTCCTTGGTGAGGCCACGCCTAGAATATCATGTGTAGTTTTGGTCTCCTTATCAGAGGATGGACGTTCTGGCTATGGAGGGAGAGCAATGAAGATTTATTGGATTGATTCTTAGGATGGCAGGACTGACGTATGAAGTGAGGCTGGATCGGTTAGGACTATTTATGAAAATATTGAGCAAGAGAAGGACGCAGCACAGCAATAACCTTCTCATTCCACTAACAGCCAAAACTCATATGGAAAGAATGATAATTTGAATGTGGCACCAGAGTGTGACAGACACATTAGAACCTTGCTCCCAATATTCAGAAAAATTGTGACCAAAAGAGAGAATGATAAACTAGCTGTTTGATATCAGTCTACATAAAATGTATATTCTAAATGTTCAGAAATTCACCACCATTACAGATATCTGTAGCATATTGAAAATAACATCCTGAAGAGCTGTGAAAATGAACAATGATAAAACAAACTAAGAAGAAAATAAATTCAGTGCTGCTGTACCTTAGTCTGTGCATCAAGATTTGCACCTCGTTTTACCAGTATTTCTGCAACATTGACCTTGTCCTCCTGAGCTGCCAAATGCAGTGCTGACAATCCACTCTAAGAATAGACACAGGAAAGAAATGTCATTAGTGCTTTACTTAAAAAGCAAGAGACCACTTTAGTAAGAAAAGAATTTGACTTCTAGAATTCCTTTATAAGTTTGATTATTTATTATTCCCTTTCTGATCCCATCACGTAATTTTCTAAAGCTGTATGTGTTGTTTTGTTTACTTTCTGCATATCATATAAATGCCCCAAAGCTTTACTCACGACTACATCTATTGAAAGCATTATTCAGGCCATCTTTCAGGACAAATGAGAACAACATTTTGTTATATTAACCATAGGAATCTGCACCATTCAAATCAACATACTGCAGGCACTTCTCCATTGGGAGTTCATTATAGACTGATGAATAGTGGATGTGATTCAGGAAGAGATATACAGACAAGTTAGGAAAGAAATATAAAACTACCAAGACCAGACTGATGGTTCTGATTTTTATGGGGCAGGACTTACAAACTAGGTGGGGTGAACATGGTGGTAGCAAGAGATGACTTGGTCATGTCCTTGGAACTTACGTGGAGTTTCAACTCCAATGACAGCATATCTTGTTTAACTATGTACACTGCTTTGAAGCAGCCTAATTGACAGGCTTCACTTTGTATTGGGTGGGAACATTGCAGAAGAGGTTGCAGCCCAGAAGTAGGTAAGCACAATGTGACTAAGGTGGAGCGTGGATACAGCATGATTTACTGTGTCAAGAAGGAGAGTGAAATGGGGATATGGAGAAATCAAAGGCAGAAATGTGAGTCTGATGAAGTTTGGCATGGATCAAAGAACAGACATCAATAAAAGAGTTTGTCAGAAATTGTGGCAGGTCTGGTTGATAATCAAGGATACCTACAATTGCTGCAGAGCCTATAAACTTTCCATTGGTTTTGGGGGATATGCTTCTTTTCTACTTGACCCACAAACAGTGCTGAAAAAAAAACACTCAGCCTTTTCAAGGAACAGTCCATGCTTTCCTTTAATTGTCTATGACTGAATTTTTAAAGCAATCAGGCCTCAGATTTTACTGGGATGCCAAATTGGATTTCCACTGCATCTTGTAGTTTAGTGAATCAGAAAATCTGTCAGTTCTGACACCTGTCATTCTCTTCCAAAAGCAGATGGGCATATTGTGGGTGGTAGCCAATTGTGTGTGGGTGGGTGAGGGCAGTGTCTGGAATGACGAGACCAACACTAACTGGCCCATGAAGCATATCACAATGAACAAAAACTCTCTTCTCGCAATGGTAACACAATTAGGAGTTTCAGGGACAAATGAATGAATTTCAAAGTTCTAGCATGGTAGGATTATTTTTTGAAACTATTGCAAGAGAAAGTTGCTCACCTTTTGGTTTTATCTATCTATCAGAGGGGGAGTACAGTAAGTCTGATGATTCATTCCTATAAATACTCCTCTAATTAAGCACACAATCCAGTTATTGATTGAACAAGAGGTCAGAAGTTTAATCTTCCAACCACAGTACTTTCATTAAGAGTTAGTGGACATGCCCTGAAGAATATGCACTTTGTACTTAATTTGCATTTTAATAATGTTTTAAGCTGACTAGAAAAAGCTGAATGATTTGGAGTCAGAATGGAATAATATAATCAAATGTTCAGAAAAGACAAACTGATTGATTTTAATAATACACCCAACCTACTTTCTTGGATATTCACACTTGAAAGCTTCTAAAAGAGTGAATTTTAAAACAAGTAAGTTACACATGAGCTTTCACTTTTATTCTGAACATTTGACCCCTAAGAGTCTCAAATTTCAATAGGTTCTTCATATCAGATATTTAGGGCAGCCAAGTCAAACTGTTCCAGCTGTTTTGATTGTTTTTTCATGTAGAAGAAATGATAGCAATAAACTTGTCTAAAGGCAGTCCATTAAGTGTCAGCTGTACATCTTCTTAAAATCGTTATGGTTTTCATAAATATGTATTACAAACCAATGTTTTAATTTAAAAAAAAACCTGAAGCTATAAATCTGGGGTACTGCAGTCCCAATGGAAACATAAGGCTGAATATCTTGACTGGTATTATCTCTTGGGATTCTCATAATAGACTGCTGGTTTCACCAGTTGTCAATGGTCTGGCTATGGAAGGGAGAGATAAATGGCCCTGAGGGTGGTGTCAGGTGGTCCTACTCAATCACCCTACCTACAAGGTCAGCCAAAGACTCGCTGGCAGCAAGAATGTAAATAACTACTTACATTTCTTGCAATGACATGTGTTAAAAGGTATAACTGAGTACCATGGGTAGTCTTTTTACTATTTATTTTCCGTGTCATTCTTCATTATGGGACGAAAATTGCCATCGACGGCCACAATCTGTCCAGCTGAACAACACCACACAGTCATGTGAAATCCAGAAACAGCAATATTTCTGCAGAATACATCGCCTAATAAAATAGGGATGAGGACTTGAATGCTGGGTGCCAGATGGTCAGAGAATGTCCCCTTAGAAAGTCCTTGAACACACTGTCACTTCCAAAATCTATGTTCATTTTTCCCAGAACTCCATGTCTGAACCTCTCCAATTAGCTTTCCACCCACCACAATACCAAAATTGCTTTGGTTTAATCAAAGTCACAAATGACTTCTTATATGACTGTGACAATGGTAAATTTTCCCTCCTTATCGCCTTCAACCAATTTCCAGCCTTGGACAGAGTTAAGCACACCACTCTCCTGCAAGGACTTTCACCAGGGTATACATCAGGGTGGGGCTGCTCTCACATGGTGCCATTCTTATCTGTTGAATGGTAGCCACAGAATCACCTGCAATGGCTTCTCTTGCCATCCCCATGCTGTTACCTCTGATACCCCCCAAGGATTTGTCCTTGCCACATCCTATTTCTTATCTCGGTGTTGGCCTTTAATTATATAACCCAGTGGAAAAACAGCATCAGTTCCACACACATGCTGATATAGACCTTACGTCAGCATCATTTCTCTCAATGACTGCTCTGTTGCTAAATTGCCTGATGCCTTATCTGACATCCAGTGATGGATGAACAGAAATTTCCTCCAACTAAATGCTGGGAAGACCAAAGTTCTTGTCTTCAGTCTCCACCACAAACATTCCTTAGCTGTCAACTCTTTCCTACTCTGTGGCAACTAATTGATGCTAAACCAGATGATATGCAATCTTGTGTCATTCTTGGCCTTGAGATGAGCTTCTGACCACATACACATACTGACCAAATTACCATGACTGCCTATCTCCATTCCTTTAATTTTGCTTGAATCTTCCCTAGCCTTGGGTTATCTGCTGCAGTACACCTCATCCATGCTCTTCTTACCTCTAGATTCGATGATCCCAATGGACAACTAGACACTCTCTGATCCAGAAGGCCATAAGATACAGGAGCGGAATTAGACCATTTAGAACATGAAGCTGCTTCGCTGTTCTCCTGTCTTCTTCCCATAACATTTGATCCCCTTACTAATCAAGAATCTATCTCTGTCCTAAGTACACTTAATGACTTAGCCTCCTCAGCCTTCTGTTGCAATGAGTTCCACAGATAAACCACCATCTGGTTGAAGATATTCTTCCTTATCTCAGTTCTAAAGGGTCATCCCTTCACTTTGAGGCTGTGCCCTCGGATCCTAGTCTCTTTCACTAATGGAAATATCTCTTCATCCACGCCATCCTCTCAGTACTCTAAGTTTCAACAAGATTCTCCCTCGTTCTTCTAAATTCTATGGAGTACCGACCCAGAGTCCTCAAACGCTCCTCATATGACAAGTCCTTCATACTCAGCATCATTCTTGTAAATCTCCTCTGGACCCCTCCAATGGCAGTGCATCCTTCCCTACATACAGACCGAAAACTGCTCACAATATTCCAAATGTGATCTGACAACAGCCTTGTACAGCTTCAGCAGTACGTCTCTGCTCTTGTATTCTGGCCCTCTTAAAATGAATGTTAACATTGCATTTGCCTTCCTAACTGACAACTGAACCTATATATTAACCCGAAGAGAATCCTGAACTAGGATTCCCAAGTCCCTTTGTGCTTCAGATCTCCAAAGCCTTTCCCCATTGAGAAAATAGTCTATGCCCCTATTCCTCCTACCAAAGTGCATAACCACACACTTTCCCACATTACATTATGTCTGCCACTTCTTTGCTCATTCTCCCGACCTATCCAAATCCTTCTGCAGCCTGTGTCCCTCTGAACACTTCCTATCCATTCACCTATCTTTGTGTCATCTGCAAGCTTAGCAAAAATGCCCTCAGTTCTTTCACCTGGATTGCTAACATATAACATAGTGGTCCCAACACTGACCCCTGCAAAGCTCAACTAGTCACTGGTTGCCATCCTCAAAATGACTCATTTATTTCAATTTTCTGCCTTCTGCCAGTAAGCCAATCCTCCATCTTTTATCCATGCCAGTACCTTGCCCCCAACACCATGGTCTCATCTTATTTTTATCAGCATCCTGAGCAGCACCTTGTCAAAGGCCTTCTGGAAACCGAAATATATCACAACCACTCGTTCTCCTTTGTCTAACTTGCTCATTATGTCCTCAAAGAATTCTAACAGATTTGTCAAGCATGACCTCCCCTTGATGAAGCCTTGTTGACTTAGCCCTGTGTTACCATGCACTTTCAAGTACTCTGCAATCCTTACCTTAATAATGGTCACTAAAATCTTGCCAATGACTGAGGTCAGGCCAACTAACCTATAATTTCTTGACTTCTGCCTCTTTCCTTTCTTAAACAGGGGTATCACATTCGCCATTTTCTAATCCTCTGAGACTCTCCCTGATTCCAGCGATTGCTTAAAGATCACCATCAATGCCTCCACAATTTCCTCAGCTATATTGTTCAGAACTCTGGAGTGCATCTGATTCAAGTGATTTATCCATGTTCAGATCTTTCAGTCTCCATAGAACAAAGAACAGTACAGCATAGGAACAGGCCTTCAGCCCAACACGCCTGTGCAAATACATGGTGCCTTTCTAACTAAAAGCCTTTTGCCTCCAGGTGGTCTGTATCCCTCTTTTTCCTGCCTATTCATGTATGTGTCAAAATGCCTCTTAAACAATGCTATTGTATCTGCTTCAACCCTCTACTTCTGGCCGTGCCTTCCAGACACTTAACATCCTCTGTGAAAAAAAAACTTGCCTCTCGCATCTCCTTTAAACTTTCTCCCTTTTACCTTAAAGCTATATCCCCTGGTAATTGACATTTCTATCCTGGGAAAAAGACTCCGACTATCCATTCTATCCATGTATCTCAAAATTTTTCAAACCTCTATCAGGTCGCCGCTCAGACTCCAACATTCAAATTTGTCCAATCTCCACTTATAGCTAATACCCTTCAAACCAGGCAACATCCTAGTAAACCATTTCTGTACCTTCTCCAAAGCTTCCACACCCTTCTGGTTGTCTGGCGACCAGAACTGTACGCAATATTGCAAATGCAGCCTAACTAAAGTTCTGTAAAGCTGCAATATGTCTTTCCAGCACCTTCTTTTTAGTGATGGCCACTGCACTCACCTCTGTCCCTGGCCTCTCGAAGTTCTTGTATGCTACTGGTGAACATGAAGACTGATTCATACTACATATTCAGTTCCTCGTTACTACTTCCCCAGCCTCATTTTCCAGCAGTTCAATGTTCACTTTTATCTCTCTCTTACTTTTTATACATCTAAAAAGACTCTTGCAATCTTCTTCTTTATTACAAGTTAGCTTACCCTCATATTTCACCTACTCCCCTACCTTATTTCTTTTTTACTTGTCCCTTGCTGTTTTTTTAAGGCTTCCCAATGCTCTGGCTTCCCACTAATCGTCATCATATTGTATGCTTTTCCTTTTCTTTTTATGCTGTTCCTGACTTCCCTTAGCAGCCATGATTAATTCACCCACCTCTTAGTATGTTTGATCTTCATTGAGATGAGTTTCTGAGGTGTGTTCCAAGAAAATCCTGCCATTGTTGCTCCATCTTCCCTGCTTGGCTCCCCTTACATTCAACTCCGGCCAGCTCCTTCCTCATGTCTTTGTAGTTACATTTACTGAATTGTAACGTAATTACATCTGATTCCAGCTTCTCCCTCTCAAACTGCAGGGTGAATTCCATCATAGGATGGTCACTACCACCTCGGGTTCCTTCACCTTAAGCTCCCTAATCAAGTTTACCTCATTACATATCACCAAATCCAGAAGTGCCTGTCCTTAGTGCGCTCTACAACAAGATGCTCCAAAAAAAAAGGTGATCCATCACTATCTATAAGCTTGAGGTCCTCTCCAAATTTGTTGTCGTGTCTTCTCTCACAGCAAAGAAGCAATTTACGCCTCCATGGTAAGCAGGGTGATGGAAACGACAAATAATTGGGTGAGTTGGTCCCAGAGAGACACAAACTGCCTTTGTGACATTTCAATAATTAAATTGTGGCTGAGAAGGTCCATTTGCACATGACAATGGTAGGTGGCCCAGGGCAGTATAGTGCTGGCCAATGTCCCCACAGGGTTCTTGCTGCATCCCCCATGCAGGAGCCAGTCGGGTTGCCAATGTGCCAGCTGCCAAATGGAAAACAGTGGTTTAACAAAATGATCACAAAGCCCTGTCATTAACTTTGGTAAGAAATCATCAGCTCAGTCTTATCAAGGGCTTTGTTTGCTTTTGGGCCTGCTGAATCCCTTCCTAGAAAAATCAGGTACTGAGAGCAGGATTTTTCTTTTGTGAGCTTCTGAATCCAACCTTGCGCTCAGCTAGAGATCAGAGGTCTGCATTCCGTGTCAGTCACCAGCTGATTTTCTCTGGATGGGCTAGTTAGGGGCCAAAGGCTTGCCGTCCATTCATGATGGAAGTCAGGATCTCAAAGTTTTAAGGCCAATCACAGGCCCTCAAGTTTGAAAGCAGCATCAGCACCCAATGGCAGATAAGTAAGAGTGCCATAAAATGGGGTGCTCTAATCTGCTAACTCCATGTCGTTTAAAAGGCTTCTAAGCATGTCTGGAGTGTTACATCTCAGGGCAGCTGCTAGAAATTGACCTCCAGGCTGCTAAATGGTCTCCCATCGCAACAACTAGTTAGCAGCATTATTTTTAATGCCCTCAACTCCTTACTCAGATAAGGACTTAAAACCCTCCACTAAGTGTCTGGACTCTCCAGTCTATATCATGGTTATGAGTTAAATTTTCATAAAAGTTGCAGACTTAATGAGCTTTCTGCACAGCCAGTGTACACATGAGATACTTCTTCATGCATTTCCCTGTATGCTATGGCTGAGAATAGAGAACAAGATGCTTTTGACCAACCTAGAGTTTGGCAAAGTTCAAACAGTGAACTTAGCTAACATTGCTACACTGTGTCAAGATGTGGAGATGCTAGTGTTGGATTGGGGTGGACAAAGTCAGAAGACACACGACACCAGGTTATAGTCTAACAGTTATACTAAAATCACAAGTTTTCGGAATGTGCTCCAAAAGCTTGTGATTTTAAATAAACCTGTTGGACTATAACCTGGTGTCATGGGACTTCTACCTCTGAGTCAACACAGAGCAGGACAAAATTAGCTTGAACTGATTTGCCTCTCTGCTAATTGATTTGATTTTTAAAACTGATGCTCTGTCAGAAAATTTAAACAAAAAGCACAAGGGGCACATTAAACAACAGGTAAATAAATATTCTGAAATTAAAAGTACCAAGCATCTGGCAGCACAGGTACTCAGCATCAAACATTGTTTTTTTCACACTAATAAATGATGACATAATAGTAATGGTCTCTGATACAATAATGTTTGCAGTTACCTTTGTGGCTGCACTAACATTGGCATTTTTATCCATCAAGCGTGAAACCATTTCCACATGTCCTTCTTGTGAAGCCAGGTGGAGGGGTGTCACCCCCTGCTTTGTTACTGCATTAGTCTGAGCTCCATATTCCAATAAGGTGGTGGCAATTTCCATTTGGTTCTTCTTGGCAGCAATGTGCAGAGGCGTATAGCCATTCTGGAAAAGCATGAATTTTAGACCACTAACAGTTAGCCTTTGCCACGTTCTGATCAATGCTCAGATTTTCTTGGTACCATAATATTAGCTTAATTCACTGATTAAAATGTAACTCTTAAGTTATTTGCTTCCTAGTTTAAGTATTACTGATCAAAATATAACCTATAATGTTTTTAACCAGATTTTCTAAATTAAAATATCTTGACCATCTCCATTTGCAAACGCCTTTCAATGTATTCATGCTAAGGGCCAAACAGTGCTAGACATTCAGTTACATTACTAGAGTATGAGTGTTTGATGAGGCACCTTCCATTCCATTAGTGTAACCTACAGTCGTAGACAATGGTGTAACCACCTTTGAGCATCACACTTTTTAGATCCTTTGTAAAATCGTCTTAGCTATCCATCTTCACTTAATATGTTCTGCCATTTAGTTTTGTACTTCAGTTGAAAACTGATGTTCTTATTCTCGATGCCCTAAGTAACATTATTGGCATTTACAGGAAAATATCATAATATGGCTTCAGGTTAAGGTTGTTACAAAAATGGTTCTATATAAATGATAATTTCTTAATAAATTCAGAATATGAAGTGAAAAAAGGTTTGATGAAACTAAGGCTGAATAAAAATTAGTACAAATGAATATTAGAAATAGGAGGAAAAAGTAGAACAGATGGTACCTTGAGCCTTCTCCACCATTCTGTATGATCTCCTGCCTCAATTCCATTTTCCTGCTCAATCAGCATTTCAATCAATTCCCTAAGATACCATAGATTTGATTTTCCCATTCTGACATGGCGAGGGTGTCAAAGTTCCGTCAAGCAGTCATTAGAAAATGGCTGCTGGGAACAGAATCGAGTTTTCCCAGCCCCTCATTCCCATGGCTGGCATTGTTCTGCAGTGCAGGACGGTAGGTGGGTTGTGAGCCCACAATGTAGTGATGCTGCCAGCACCATTGCAGAAGTTGGAATTTCAGATATTTCACTTCTCTAGGAGCAAGGATATTTTTGGAAGGTGAGGTATTTCATACCAACACAGAAATGCTGTGAACAATGGGAGAATCATAGTTTAGATTCAGGAACCATACAAACCACAAGTTGAAGAGGTACTGCCAGCTTTAAGTTTAATAAAGGTGTTTTGCATTATAAATTTTATATGTTTTTAATTTAGGAACAAATGATAAGGTCTTGATTTTAGCAGGAAAGTGAACATTAAATAATATGCTTGCCAGGTTGTCACCTCTGACGTCTTGAAAGCTATCAAGGCAGTATGTCGATTAGCAAATGGAAAGTGAAATGTTTTCAGGTTCACTCAAGTGCACCATCTACTGGATAACATTTTATTCGGCATTGTATAATAGTAAATTCCAGAAATCATAGTTTTAAATGGGTCCATAACTTTGATTATTCGCTCTGTGAAGTTCAGGAGGATATCGGTTTGGTTGAGACAAAAACTTTTGACAGATGGCTGGACCTATAATCAGTCTTCAAAAGCTTTAAAGCATTCAGCTTGGGAGTATTTCTTGACGCAGTTGTTCAATGGAATCTCACAATAAATGCATGCCTAAATACCAAACCCAGTAGAGTATTCTACTTAACTGGGTTTTTGATACTGCTGTAAGGGAGGGTTGGAACTTGTGTACCTTGGCATAATTATGAGCTGTTAGGAGAAATATAGCTTTTTTTGAAGGTAAGGTAAGGACATTATATGGCTAGTGATTTCTGTATACAGTGGATACTGGGTGAGCGCATTGGTAGTGGTTTAAGCAGGACTTAGAGGGAGTAGGGGGATGAAGCTTATAGGGCCTCAAACGCACCTCCAGAAGTGGACTGTTATCTGCAAACTGTGGCAGACTTCTTAACGTAGCTGTCTTGGCATTGGCCTGCCTCTATAAATATCTCGGATGTGTTGCCAGAGTTTGAAGGCCTCATTCCAGGCCATTCTTACCTCCCCGCCATGAAGGTAGAATCGGTGGCACAGGCAGCTAGCAGGTGGACTGTGACTTCAGAAAATCTCCTAATCCCTCAAATCCTGCCCTCAAAAAAAAAATCCAGTCCCCACCGCTGGGTTATCTCAGACACAAATATATGCAAAGATGAATTATCCACAGATCTCCAGGGCAGAGTATTTGAAAAGTTCTCAACCATCTGAACAAAGAAAGTTCTTGTCATCTCGGTCCAAAATTTTTGGCATTTTACTCTGAGATTGCATTCCTCTGTTGAACTCCCAAGCAGCGAAATAACCTTTAAGTATTGACCCTGTCAAAGTTCTTCATAATCTTGTTTGTCAGAATGGGATCATCTCTCACTGAAGGGAATATAGCTCAGCATCTTATCATAGGAAAACACCATCTTCTCAGGTACCAAGCTAGTGACTCTTTACTGAACTCATTCCAATGCAAGTATATCCTTGCTTAAACGAGGAGACCAAAACTGCACACAGTATTGCTTGTGTGATCTTACCATCGTCCTCATAGAATGACATAACCACAGAACACCTACAGTGCAGAAGCAGGCCATTTGGCCCATCAAGTCTGCACTGACATTCCAAACAGCATTTCACCCAGACCCAGGCCCCTACTGTATAACCATACCCCTACATTTACTCAGCTAATCCACCTAGCCCGCATATCCCTAAACATTATGGACAATTTTATCATGGTCAATCCACCTAGCCTGCACATCTTTGGATTTAAATTCCATATTCTTGTACTTCAAACCTCTTGCAATCAAGGCCAACATTTTTCTTCCTGATTGCTTGCTGTGCCTGCATGCGAAGTTTCAGTGGTCTTACACACATTTAGCTAAATCTCATGTTTTATAAACACTAATGGTCCTGAAAGGATTAATTTTGGGACACTGCAGTAAGCTCTACCTATTCAGATAATCTCATACAGTCTCAACTGGAGAAATTGACCTTGAAGAGAATAGAATATATATCTATATCTAGACATATATCCCAATACTCTTAGTAACAATGTCAAACTAGTTAATGTAACTCCTACTTAAACCAAACAACATAAACAAATAATAGATAGAACTAAGCAATCCCACAACCAACGGATCAGATCTAAGCTATATCCAATCATGAATAGTGGTGGATAATTAAACAATTCACTGAGGAAGGAGGCTCCACAAATATCTGCATCCTCAATGATGGAAGAGTCCAACATGCAAGTACAAAAGGTAAGGCTGAAGTATTTGCAGCAACCTTCATCCAGAAGTGCCTAGTGGATGATCCATCTTGGCCTTCTCCAGTGGTCCCCAGCATTATAGGTAACAGCCTTCAGCCAATTTGATTCACACCACATGACATCAAGAAATGGCTGTAGCCAATAGATACTGCAAAGGCTTTGGGTCCTGACAATATTCTGGCAATAGCACTAAAGACTTCAGTTCCAGAACTTACCACTCCCCTAGCCAAGCTGTTCCAGTTCAGTTATAACACTGGCAGCTACCAGACAATGTGGAAAATTGTCCAGGTATGGCCTATACACAAAAATCAGGATAAATCCAACTTGGCCAATTACGATCCCATCAGCCTACTCTCAGTCATCAGTAAAATGATGGAAAACATCATCAACAGTGCTATCAAGCAGCACCTGCTCAGTGACACCCTGTTTGGGTTCCACCAGGGCCACTCGGCTCCTGACCTCACTATAGCCTTGGTTCAAACATGGACGAAAGTGCTAAATTGCAGAGCTGAGGTGACAGACCCTTAACATCGCAGTGAGGGTCAATTAGTTCAATTGGCTGGATGGCTGGCTTGCGATGCAGAATGACATCAACAGCACAGGTTCAATTCCTGCACTGGCTGAGGTCACCAGGAAGATCCCACATTCTCAACCTCTCCCCTTGCCTGAGAAATTGTGAACCTCTGGTTAAACTCACCACCCGGCGTCTCTTTCTAATCAGAGGGCAGCCCTATCATTCTCTGGGACTGTCTAACTTTATCAATAAGGTAAATGGGTACAGAAGAATGCATCAAAGTGAACGGTGTAACTGGAACAAAAGGCTAATTGGCCTCTGGTGCTCCTACTGGGGAGGTGATAGCCTAGTAATATTACCTCTAGAAAATTAATCCTGAAACCCAGGTAATTTTCTGGGGAACTGGGTTCAAATCCTGCCATGACAGATTGTGGAATTTGAATTCAATAATAATCTAGAATCAAGAGTCTAATGATGATGTTGTCAATTATCAGGAAAACCTATCTGGGTCACTGATGCCCTTGAGGCAAAAAGATCTGCTGTCCTTACCTGAGATAGTAGGAACTGCAGATGCTGGAGAATCCGAGACAACAAGGTGCAGAGCTGGATGAACACAGCAGGCCAAGCAGCATCATAGGAGCAGAGAGGCTGACGTTTCGGGCCTAGACCCTTCATCAGAAAAGGGGGTGGGGAAGGGGGTTTTGAAATAAATAGGGAGAGAGGGGGAGGCGGATAGAAGAGGGATAGAGGAGAGGATAGGTGGAGAGGAAACAAACAGGTCGAAGAGGCGGGGATGGGGCCAGGAAAGGTGAGTGTAGGTAGGGAGTTAGGAAGGGGATAGGTCAGTCCAGGGAGGACGGACAGGTCAAGGGGGCGGGATGAGGTTGGTCGGTAGGAGATGGAGGTGCGGCTTGAGGTGGGAGGAGGGGATAGG